AAAAATAACAAAATGTATTTTGTTTTATTGACTTGCTTCTTAAGGATAAAGCTATCAACTACAACACATGTCAATGAAGTGTGGACAGGACATCTATTTGTTTACCTGACATAAAATCGATGTCTAGTACTAACTTTGCTCTAAGCTTTGATTATGATTTTTTGGCGGGCATTTTCAACATTAAACTTAAGTAAAGTAAAAACAGCAACAATGGTCATACAGAAAACTCTTGCACAATATCTGGATTAATAACAATATTCTGCGAGAAGAAGTATACTATTTGCTACTAGGGAGAACTGGACTTGACCAGGAGGTGTGTGATGTTGGTGAGGTGAAGTACAATAGGTCACTTAGTCAACAGGTACAGCTTCCAGTTGCAGGTACCTGACATGCTTCATAAAAGGGTAGCCACATTTTGGAACATTTTGCATTAAGTCCTCAGATGGAGTATTTGATTTTTTTCTAATTTCATGAATTTTGGGGCATCCTTCATCGACTTGGTATGAGAGAGGGGATAAGGGCTGTGTGTGTGGTCAGTGGGCAGAACACCAAATAGGTCAACCATGGGTTAGGGATTGGATGTTGGCAGATGTGATGGTGGAGAGGGAATCAAAAAAAGACTTCCCACATAGAACTAGTGCAGGACAGGTTCAAAACATGTGGGCGAGATGAACTGGTCCTAGGTTTAATTTTACAACACTTTAGGAACTCTTAGAATATGCGAGCCAATTTGCTTTTAGACCAGTGGACTCTATGAGCTACTTTGCATTGTAAGACCTCTTGATGGACACAAATAAAGAACGTGTGAACTCTTTTTGAGAAATGACAACAGACCTCAGTATCTATACGTTGAGATCCTCTTAACAAATTCTGCACAATTTATCAGAAACCGAAGCCTGGCACGCTAATATCTGTGCTAATGCACATTTTTTTAAAGTTTGATTTATCGTAAAATAAAAACTTTGCACATCTATGTCATGACACAGGTGTATAGGAGAGCAATGTGATAATAAAGAAACTTAAAGGTGAACTCCTGCACACTTTCTAACTTGCAAACAAATATTTATTGGTAACATTTCAGTCATTAGTTTGCCTGATGAAGTGATGTGTGTTTAAACAGGCAACTCTGTAAACTATGAAACAATACTGATTAACATGGACCAAGAGCATAATGGCATCAGAATCAGTAATATCTTCATGAATCCTGCATTAGTATCATTACTGACATATTACAATCACACTGCTGGGAGACTGTAGCATGGCTATAAAAAAATATTGGTCCATAACAAATAACCAATCACCAGCACTGATGCCTCAGTGGTAAAATCCATTTTAACTGCTCTAATTCTGTGTTTGCCTGTCTTGAGTTTCTGCTCATAAATCATTCATACAGAGTGATTCTGCCAGTACAGAATGTATCGATATCCTGCCTCGGGTATGGGATGAGACTTAACTCTGATGGTGGTCACAGTCTCAGAAAACAGCCACAACAACTACAGAAAATCACCATTAGAGAGCTATTAATGGATGTACATTGTTATAGACTGAAGATCAAACCCTGCCTTCAAGCTTTAATAATAAAACAGGCCATCTGTTAATAGCTGGAGATGACATAATGTTCCTCTACTGCAGAAACTTGCTCGCTCTATATATACAGTATGTACCAAGAAACATGCTGTATAAGAAGATGTACTTACATAACGTTTTGGACAGTATGATCATGTGTATTATTCATGATGTTACTATATGAAACATTGTCTAAAAATAGTGATGCTCAATTTGTTTTCATATTTAGAAACATTTTAGTTTTAGTGGTATGTCTCAGGTGTACATAGTCTCTTTTGGATGACTTTGGAGGTACTCTGACTTTTGAGCTACTGGGCAGCTGCAGGTCAGTTTTTAGGGACTTGGGAGCTGGAATGTTGCCGGTTTGGTGCAGACCAATTCTTCGTGAGCACTGCCAATGTGCCCTTAAGCAAGGCACCAAAGTCCCATCTCTCTCCCCTCGGGATTAATAAAGTATCTGTTCTTCTTCTTCATCATCTTTTCCTTTAGCACCATCAGAAGGTCAAACATTTAACTTGTAAAAATAGACATCTATGAAATATTCAAAGATGTATTTGAAGTCACAAGGTTTTTTTTTTTTACTTCTATGACCAGATACCTGCAAAGTTATCAGACCACCCTAAGTAGCATATTGTGTTTCATGCTATATAAGTACACTAGGATAATAATTAAACAAAAGACCTAGCCTGCTAAAATGTTCATGAAAGCATTGTCATGGAGAGCATGTGAAGATGCTAACGTCAAAACGTTGCTGTGAATCATCTGAATGTCTGTATACCCCACATTTCCTGTCTCTCTTCAGCTGTCCTGTCCAAGTAAAGCAAAATACCCAAAAGAGAGGAACATTCATAGAGTCAAGGACATTTCAGGTAAGTTATGGCCGCCGCAAACAATCCGAGCTTCGTCACCTTTATATAGCTATAGAAGATTATCCTGTTAACTGGATATAAGGGGGCAGAGTAGGAATAGTGGTACAGATACAGAGAGGTAGAGACACACTTACAGATTGCTTATTTTTTACAACATATACATGGTCCAGCATTGTTCCTGTCATAAAACATGACAAGACATCATCATACAGTCTGTTGAGACAGCAGGTACCTGGTGAAAATAATAAAACCAAAAGTGTACATTTTGGAATAAGTTACCATGATGGATAAAAATCTTCAGGATCAGAATGAGCTGTCTTTAAATGATTGTAGACTGTTGTACAGCATTAAGGGTGGCTTTCAATTTTCTACAGGAGCTGATGATGAGTATGATACAACCAGAGGTATCTAGCATGTCTACTTCTTTTAAGTTTAGATGTAGAGAGAGAGAGAGAGAGAGAGAGAGAGGGGCAGTAACCTAAGACTTACTGTACAGTGTTACCATGTACACACAGAGTCCCAAATGGAGTCATGCTTTTGTCTCCCACAACAGAAAGTGTTGAATAAATCATGATGGGAATGGCTGTGTTCATGTCTATACTGCATACTGACATACTGTAAGGATAACCTCTTCCATAAGAAGTTGTGTTTCATACATGATGATCTTAAACTATTCTAATGACAATTAATTAGGGGATAACCACATTTAGTAAATATTTGACTGTTATGCTTAAATATGTTTGTAGTGTTGTTTACCTTTACAGAGTTTTTTATATTTAAGAATGCAGTTTGACTATTCATCAAGAAGCCATGTTATACAATAATAAACGCTACAACTGTTGAGTATTGTGATTTTTAGATATTTATGCATTGCAGAAAATCCTGTAATTTTTCATGTTAAAGCTCCGGTGACCAACATTTGCTTTGTGTCGATTTTGGCGCCCCCATGGACAAAGAAATACCTTTTATCTCTTTGCTGTGGGAAAAGGTATAAAAAAGGTTGTTTTTTTTTTACACAAAACATCTCCCCCTGCTTTCATTTAACAGTCCAATGAATCCCTCATTGAGAATCTTTGCAGTGTAAAATATAAACAAAGACCATTTCCACAACATAATAATAACCCTTTGCCTGACACCGACCTTGCAGTAGCTGTTTCAGGCATTAATAACGATAATGTAGAAATAATCAGTCTTGTCACTGATGTTCTTGTTTGCTTTTATTTATTGCACATAAAGAGACAGAAGGAGCCTCATTTTTAGTCTGTTTCATAACCAGCTAAAAAACTCACCATGGGAGCTTTAATGTCAGCAGTGAGATCATGCAGCGATGATGGGACAACAAATACAGGAACAAAATTAATTATACTCAATTCAAAAAACTTTATTTGTCCCCGGGGGGCAATTCAAAGTTACACAGAGCAGTAAATTAACAACAGCTTACAGTAGACACAAAATTTAAACCACAAATATAAAGTTTCAATTTAAATAAAAAAGTTAAATAAAAAAAAAGATTTAAAAAAAGTAGCTGTGTCTACAGTGATCAGATTAACAGATGTAGACAGATATAAAAAAGAACTGTATGCAGTACATGGGATTTATATATTTAGTCATATAAAGAGCTATGTGCATAGGGAATAATAGAATAACATAACTAAGTATGTACAGATATGTATGAAAAAATATGAATACTGAATGAATAAAGTGATTGTAGTACAATGATTGATAAAGATACAACAGGAATAAAATCTAACCAGAGCTGTATAAAAACTGATATAAAAAAGAATAAAGTGATAGTAGTGCTTGAAGACCAAATAAAGCAGAAGGCTTTTAGGGTTCATTTGTTTATAATATTGATTAGCTGATTTCTGGTTGACACACATTAGGCTACTGCTTTTCACTGGAACATGTTTTAATAAAAAAATAACACGATGGGCAACTAATATGTTATTAAGTACCCTGCCCTGGCTTTCAAGCAATGCATAGAAAACCACGATGTTGCTTTTTATATCCCCGAAAATTGACAGGCTTCTCTTTGTTTTCTTGCACATCAGTCCTTCTGATAATCTACCATGGTGGCGACAGAGAGCTGCAAACACGAGATCCTCTCTCCCTCTCTTTTTCTCTCTCTTTCTTCCAAGGCAACATCCCGTTATCTGAGAGAGGGAGAGAGAGAGAGAGAGAGAGGGAGAGAGAGGGTTGATCCAGCACACTGCCTCTCTGTTCTCACCCACAATTCCTCTGAGCAGGAACCGGCTACTTCATTTCATCGAGACAAATATTCTGCAGAGAGGAGGATCTATTGGAACAAATCGGAATTATTAACATATTCACTACAAAGACAGTGAAAAGGGGTGGTTATAATTAGCTTCTGTGCTGTTTTTGGACACTGCTTCCTGCTTCTTCGCCTTGTTGCTGTACTGGAGCTCTCATTGTGGAGTGAGGATCGCCTCCTTTTGTGTTGCTCTGTAGTTGTTTATTCGCACTCCAACTCCAACTTCTGCCTCCTGTTTCCCCTAAATAGGAGGTTTCATTTCTGTTTTTCTGGTTTCTGACTAAACGGAATGAATGACAAAAACAAAGGAGGTTGATGTCAACAACTCTCCGACTCACCTCGTCTTCGCCTCGCCCAAGGAACGGAGACTCCATCTCCGGCAGAAGATGGAAAGCGGAGGCGGGACGGAGGGCTCGCAGCACGCGGTGGTGGCCGGTCTGGAGCAGCCTGAATCCGCGGAGCTCTCTGCGACGCCGTCCGGCCGTCCTCAGGGTGGGAAGAAGAAGGTGAACCGGGCTCCGTCCCCGGCCAGACCGAAGGATGTAGCCGGATGGTCCCTCACGAAGATCCGCGGAGGGATAGGGACCCCGACTCTGAGCGTAAAGCCGGGCGCCATCCACCTGGGCAGCCGCATTTCCAGGCGGAGCCCCGTGGGGAGCATTTCAGGGAAGGACGGTAAAGCGGAGAAAAAAACATCGAGCAAATCCTCCACTTCCTCGGGTGCTTTGTCCAAGTCCTCTGCGGCGAAGGGGGCCAAGAGCGCCGCAGGGAGGAGAAAGGTGTCCGACGCCAGCATTGGATCCGACGACTTATCCAAGGATTCCGGCTGCGCCACCGGGAAGCTCTCCCCAACCGACAGCAGCTCCGAGCTATCGGACTGTGCCTCGGAGGAAAACAAGCTCTCTACGGATGCTGTTAGCAGTGACGCCGAATCCAGGAGCAGCCGGGGTGGTGGGCAGGATGGAGACAAGCCGCTCAGGGATGGCGTGTTGGCGGACAGAGCTAGCCTACAAGCCGCCGGTAAGACCTCTTGTTCCAATGCGGACTGCAAGGACCGGCTCTCCGTGGCTGTGGAGACCGGAGAAGGGAGCGTATCCCCCGGCGAGGAGCGCTCGGTCACCTCGTTTGACAGCAGGGTGCCTGCGAGTACATCCCTGGCTTTCTCAGACCTCACAGAGGAGTTTATGGACGGCATGCAAGAGGAGTTTGTCCGGGAGATAGAAGAGCTAAGATCTGAGAATGATTACCTCAAAGTAAGTCCACTGTCGTGTCAACTATACATTTGTGGATTAAGATTTCTTGAAAGTTGCCTTCTTGAGTGCACCCGAGGCTGTTCAGATCACTATGCCATAAATAGAAAAAATATTCTGCACAAGGATCCCTTGGGAAAGGTTTTGAAGACAAGCAGCTTTTCTTTCTCTTAGGCTATATAAAATAATTATATTGATACTAGTTCCAATTAGATGAATGCCAATAATCATCTTTCGCTCAACTTCAGGCTGTACAGATTCTGTTCACTCTGACTTGTTTCCAATGCATCTTAAGATGCTTTACGGCGCCATCAAAATAAACTCAAACATGGATGATGATGTTATGACTAGAGTTTGCATCTCAGCAGCAAATGAGCCAAACATGCCTTGTTGCCTCAGTATGGCAGTTTTCAAATGGGGCAATCATCATGTGCAATGTAGATGAAATAGCACCTCAAAGTTTAAGATATCATGTGAAGGCAGTACTTGCAGTGTTTTCAGCTGTCTTTCTCCGAGTGCATGTGATGGAGGTGAGGATGTTTTTACAGCCTGAGGGGTTGTCAGTCCCTAAAGCCTGCAGTGGAATCTGCCCTTTTCTACCTTGGTGCAAATATTTGCTCAGCAGTGGTTTAACATGAAACCCTGTAATTGTCCATGTGTTCCTATTTTTTTTATATGTATTTTTTATCCTGAATAACAAGGACAACGTTTGATTCTGATTCTGGATACTGAATGCCAAACTTGTGCATTTGTGTATTGGTTATAATTATATAGTTACATAGATTATGTATCTGAAAAGCTGCCAGTTGGTAACATCATTTATCCACTTGATCCATTTTGTTGTTTTAATCAGACACTTACACTTCAGCACTCAGAATAGCTAGACCACCACTGCTTCATTACAAGTACCCCAGACTCATATTCAGAGTGTAGGTCATCCCATTTTTGACACTAAAGGCATCTCGCAGCTCTCACACCTGCAGACAATGAAATGTAAAACACGTAGATCCACCAGTCAAGCAGATCCTTTCTGCTTTGAGAGTGATTGATTACTGGGATTGAGTACATGTGCATGTCCCTAAGCACTAACTGGCAGTAACCAGACAAGCCAATAATTGTTAGGGATTGATTGTTGAGGGGGAATGATTGATCAGAAGCACATGTCCAAACAGGAAGACCCCCTCATCTTTTACTATAGGGTACTCTAAAGCTGTGGTGACTTTTGATTTTTTTGGAGATGGGTTCTCACAGCTGAACATGTTTTTCTTGTAACCAACAGATTTGTTTGCATTTACATCTCTATTAGCATACCTGCTGCTCAAGTAAACACTGACCTTGATGCCTTGTGTCTAAAACACAACATGTCATTACTCTGTAAATTCATGGTTATTATCATATAACTTATGTTGTTATTACTTTTATTTTGAAAAACAAGTTGACAATTTTTACTTTACAATGTGCGTCGCTTTGGTTGATGTTGATACATTTATTTTGCTGGTGACCAGAAGTTAATCAACTATTCTATAATATTAATTTAATCCTTTAATTTGAAAGAGTCTCTTAATTTATGGGATTGAACTGCTATTCTTTCTTTATAAAAAAAAAAGCTAATTCAATTGCTAAGATATTTGACTTTTTGAGGATTTTGTGATACCTTAGAAAATACCTCATTCATGGAAACTCGTGAGTTAAAAAGATAGCATCGGGAAAGACAGCTGCTGTGTCCCTTATTCCTCTCTTCTAGAGGAATTGTGGTGCCATCTTCTGATGATCCTACAACCAGCAGGGCAGGATGAAAGTCAAGAGGATAATCAATTAACCGAATCACCTCCACCACAAACTGTTAATGCATCTCATCCTGCAACGCCAGTCTGTCTGGGTTTTTCAGTTAAATCATAAAAACTCTTCATTTGAAGTGTAATCAGGATTCCAGTATGTGCACATCTGCAGCTGTTTGTATGTATGTATGTATGTATGTATGTATGTATGTATGTATGTGTGTGTGTGTGTGTGTGTGTGTGTGTGTGTATTGTATGTAGAGAAGCTGCCTGCATATAGGACACCATCACACCAGAGCTACCTTATTGGACCACCCCAAAGCCTCATGGGAGGCCTAGCAGTGAAGCGAGACTGCTTGTGTCTGTTGTTGCAGCTGTGAAGAACACCTGCTCAGTAATCGAGATCAAAACAACATGTGTGTTTCCATGATTTATTAGATTCAGCCTCTAATTTGCACACTCCAATTCCCCCTCTGACTTTACATCGAAAGTGTTCATCCTCCTTCTGTCATGTCTGACACAGATTTTTATTTTGCTTCATCTTTTCGTAGTGCATGTTTCTACCGTATGAGTCTATATTGTTAACTATATTCTAATGCTGTTTGAATATATCAAATTATGAACACATTTTCCAATGATTATCTTTACTATCTATACTTGCAGATCATAATTATTGTTTATTGGACATGCAATCAAGAGTTTGCTGTCGTCTCAATGCTCACAGTCATTCCTACCATCCACACACTGTTCTGACATAGCTGTAACTCAGCAGACACCTTCACAAATAAGCAATTGTTTGGGTCTACAGATAAACAACATGTAGGTCTTCACTACTGGCATCATGTTACAGCTGAACCTCACACAGTCACAGGGACAGGGTCGATTTTTAGGAATGTGTGTCCTGTGACATTCATTTAAGCAGTTTGGCATGTGTGGATGCTCAGCCAATTCAGAACTCCTTCACTCATACAGTACTCACTATTGTTTGTCAAAATACTCAAACCTATAATTCTGGAGAATTGCTTTTCAGTGCAGATAAACCCTTCACCTGCCTTGTATCATATGATCAGATTAAGCTTGGCAGTTAACTTGGGCTTTGGTGTTTGTAACTTTTATTACATGCTCTCAATCAATCTATTTTTGAAGAAGTGTTTTGTCTCTTAAAAGACGATGTTCTAAAATAAGATGATTTGTTAAGATATTATACCAAGATATACCGGTGAAGAAAAATGATGCCAATACAGAAATAAAATCAACTGCAGTTCCTAGAGTGTCCACTTGAGGCTGGCTCCAAAAGACCCTGAAGTCCCATACACAACTATGTTAAAATGCCTGTTTTTACTGCAGAAATAAAAATTATTACAGCCTGGTACAAGAATGATTTAGCTCTGAATAGCTCAAGTCCTTTTTGGCAAAAACTGAATTGAATCAATATTTCATATTTTATGAATGATAAGAGTTATGCATACTACGGACGTGACTAATATGACTGCAAGCTGGCACATTGTGTCTGTCTGCCAGGAGGCTTAAGGCCAACTCTCCAACTCTTTACCTGTTACTCTAGGTTAAACAAAAGTTAGATTCAGTCTCAACATGGAGACCGCCATTCTTGGGTCTCAAATCTGCGCTTCAGAAACGATTGGGTGACGTCACTGAGACTATGTCCATTTGAGCTTCAGTCTATGTATTGTACGTAATATGTGATAATCAGTCTGGTTTAACAACATCTGGATAAGAACACTCAGCCAGATGTGTCTCTAACACCACGGACCATTTTGATCTACATACAAGCAAATTGTATGTGAGGGTTGTGGGTAGAATAGAGAAGTAAAATCTGAACATCTCTGAAGGTGTAATTGCATGTTTTGGAAAATATTATTTTTTGCTCTCCTTAGAAGAGTTAGATATGTGGGTTGGGATATTTCTGTCATGTCTGTGCTCTTAAGAAAGACGACAGCTAGCTTAGCTTAGCACAAGACTGTGAAGTATACAGTTTCGAATTACCCACAATGAATGATTCAAAGCAACATTTAAATATTTTAACAAAAACATAGAACTTGTGTAAAGTTGATCGTATACCCTGCTTCCTCTGGAACATACTGTATGCTGGAATGCAAGGTACATGTTGTCTTTAGCTCAAAAAAACACATGTAGCATACCAACCACTAAGCTGTAGATATAGTATATATACAACCATGAAATGCATGATAATCACAGAACTTTTATATTATATGATCTGGTCTATAGCTCTAGAAACATGATGAACTGCAAAGCTTTGGCCAGTTCGCCCAGTCCTCCAGTAGTGAGAACTGTTATCACGACAGATGTGCCTCAGCTCTAATTTCTACCATTGACCTGTCTGGCTCACTAAATACAGACATCTGATTGGTTCATTTTACTCTCCTGACTGTCTGGTTTCTCACGTAACAGAAACTAATGAAATCATCGCCTTTAGTTAGCTGAGAAAAGCAGGTCAGTGGTACAAATCTCTCTGTCTCTTTCTCTCTCTTACAACATTCATTTGCGATTCCCTCGTCCCGTGTCCTCAAGTCCTCACTCCCTACTGTCGTGTTGTAACTCCCTCCCCGTCTACATTTTCCTCATGCTCTGTTTTTTCCATCCTTGTTTTGTCCATCTCTTCCCCTACCCTTTCCACTTTCTCTCTCCTCTCCTTTCCTCCCCTCTTCGTCTTGTTTTCTGTCCCTTAATTTCATGTCATTCTCTACCTTTACCTCCCATGACCTGTTTTGTCTTTCCTTTCCTTCTTTCATTTTCTTCTATTCTATTTTTTCTGTCATGTGCCTCCTTCCTTCGCCTTTCCTCTGTATTGCAGAAATGTAACCTCGCGGTCAGTGTCGTGCAGACTTCTTCTTGCTGCAGTCTATTTTAACTTGATCAACAAATCTCTTTCACGAGTTTACACACACACAGATTTTGCTTCATGCAGAGCCACATTCATTACCTTAATCGTGAACAAATTCCCTGCAGTTTGTTAACAAATTGTTTATTCTAAAGTAGCAGCATAGACACACCCTTCCCACTTACTCCCCTAACCTTTCATGCTGTCTCTTTCCACACACGCACTCACATATTCCCAGAGCTCATTGTTGCTACTCTTCAAGCTCTGCAGATGCTGACCCACATTCTGCAACGTAGTAAATTATGACAGCACTTCTACTACTACTACTACCACCACAGCAGCTTCTGACTTCCTTTGCCTAACACGCTCACACATTCTGCATTCGCACAAAGACTTTTGCCGATGCAGACATTACACACTCTTGGAAGAACACCATTGTGTAACACCCGACTTGCTGTTCCAGAAAGCCCATAAAGCCCAGCGACCCAGATTTCTTCATGTGAGGTGTGGTTCATGTCAGTGCAGAAGCACACGCTAAAACAAGAGCTGCACCTTAAGTCATTTTCAGAAGGATGATGCAAAGGAGGCTGTCAGGCTGAAATGAATCATGCGTGCATCACACATATGTTCTGGATTATTTTTTTGAATGTTTCAAAGTTTCTGAAAAGTACGTTTTTAGATATTTGTACATCTATGTTTTGAGGTGAAGGAATTTGGTGTCCTTTGCTTTTAATCCCCTCTAGGGACTGCTGACGGACTTCTCCTTTGACCCTCCTCTATACCACCTCCTGGTATGGAGGGAGATAAAAGAATCAATACAGCGTCCTAGTGCATTACTCAGTTCACCATTTTGCTACTTACATGTAGATCTCTATTTCTGATGACCCCTTTTATCTGACATAAGAGAATATTACATTACAGTTCATTTTCAGAGGACACTAATTGTTGTAATGGTGATCCCCATAATGTGGATGACGGGAGACGTATGACAGTGAGCGGTGATTTATTGGATTGATAACAATGGTTACAAGGTTAATGGAAGACATTATTTTTGATGATGATTGTCTTGCATTTATGATGAAGCTACTGAAGCTTTAATGCCTCCTGTTATACATTAAAGGGTTCCCTTTATGACCCCCACATGTGCACATAATGCTGTCTGCACTGAGTTACAGTTTAAGATGCTGAGATCTAAGTCACAACAGCTCTTCCAATAACAAAAGATGCACTTACAGTCTCTCTCTTTTTCGTCACTGTGTCCAGGATGAGATGGAGGAGCTGAGGTCTGAGATGTTGGAGATGAGAGACATGTACATGGAAGACGACGTCTACCAGCTGCAGGAACTTCGACAACAACTAGAGCAGGTATGGCTGTGGGTGCACAGACCGAAGAAGTTAAATGATCTCATTCAATCTGTGATTTGATTCTCTGTGATATATTGTATTGGAACTTTTAAGTTACATTAACGATCAGAGTTTACATTTTTTAGAGAGACCATTATAAGCTAAGGATGCTAAGTAAAGCTGGGAGCATCGTGGACATTTAAATCATGTTTGAGCTGTTTAATACCAAGTGAATAAAATACTTAATTTACTATTTATTGTGTTTCTATGCTTAATGTGTTGACTACAGTATTTAATGGAGGATGCAGTACTTTTTTTCTTAAAGGCACAATAAAGTAAAACCTCATCTACTCACTCTGCTTCTCTGTCACAGGCAAATAAGACCTGCCGCATCCTGCAATACCGGCTGAGAAAGGCAGAGCGGCGCTCTCTCCGTGTCGCCCAAACAGGGCAGGTAGATGGAGAACTGATAAGAACTCTGGAGCAAGACGTCAAAGTAAGTGTATTTGATTGAGACTGATTTAAAATTGCGAAATGGCATAGGGGAAAGTCAGATATCTGATGTTGAATTAATGGTTCTTAGGTTGAATTGTGTCTGCCCATTTGAACACTTAAAAAATAGCCAGAAGGCTAATAAAGCTCATGTAAAGTCTTTCTCCTCCAAGATAAAAAATAGAATATATACAAATAGACATTTGGCTTGACTTAATCTAAAGAAGGCCACTTTCAACTGGAAATATTATAATTCAGTTTATTTTAAAATAAAATAAAAGATTTACTGGAATAAAAGCTCAGTTTTGCAGGTAAAATATTCTATGATGCATTGTGCAAAAAAAATCTACTTAAGCCAAGTCATATTCTTTAACATTGGACATCGGATCTGTCACAGTTGTAAGTCCAACTTTGATTAAAACAAAACTGAGTTAATCAAACTGGGACCCCTGTTTATTTTTGGGTTCCTAACTGTGTGTGATCAGTAGATTTTAACACTTCTACCAGTACTCCGATCTAGAGAGTTCTCCTAATGTATAGGTTATGGCATGCACAGATTACAGTTAAGAACAGCAGATTCAAAGTCAATCACTGTATCCCAGGATTTAAGGACCTTGCCTGGTTGTTGCTACACACATGCTGTATTTTGTTTTAAATGATGTCTGTGTATTTCGAGACAGTTCTTCTGACCCACTTTCCTCACACTGTAGAAGTCATGCGAGCATGGTGAGGTCAGGCTTCCTCTAATTTGTTTAAGGAATTTCCCTGTTATAATGACTATTAGCTAATGGTTGCCACATTAGGACTCTCAATTGATCTAGTGTGTTAACCCACACAGATATTAGCCAACTGCAAACAAAGAAACCCACAAACACACTGATACAGTTTAGGTAAATAAAGATAGCACTCTAGTTTACAAGTGTCCTTCACTCTATGGATAGACATGCATAGTCATTCCAGTCACTTCAGGAATCTGTGGAAAAGGCCAGATGTACACAAACGCGTGCTGCAGACTGGAGCTTCTATGGCTGTTTTCTGTCACGTTGACCCTGGGCCATGGACACACTCTGTCAAATTCACAACAATCCTCCAACATTTTCCATGTCATAGAGGATACAATGGGGTCTTTATATCCTCTAAAAGAGAGACAGAGAGAGAGAGGGTGTGAGTGTAGGAGAGAGAGACTGTGATGTCACTCTCCGGACTTTCTGCCGGCTGTTGCTGTCTGTCTCTGCGCCTGTCTCACCATCTGGTTGTTTTGGAAGAAGGAAGGAAGGAAAGAGGGGATAGGAGGAGCGTTCATCCTGTGTTCCTGAGTGTGGGTGTTGAGTGTGTTAGGGAGGAAAGGGGTTGGTCACTGTTTGAAAATTCAAATCAGCCAATCATGGTGGGAGGATGAGGCTGGGAGGAAAGACTTTTGGAGAGTTATTCAGGAATCAGTGAAAGCTGATTGAGACATTGGGATAAAAAGTGGAAAAGTGAGGTCAGAAATAACGTAAAAAAAACAGAAAGACAAAGTTAGAGTTTGCAGCGATGGTGATTATAAACACAGGATTCTGATAAATTACACACTGCAGGGAGACAAACCTCTCTCACAACATCTGGCTGATTGTGTCTTTTTGCCACTGGGGCCACAGACTCAGACAGCAGGTCAAGTTACACCACGTTGAGTGTGTGCTTGTTTGTGCATGAATGCATTAATTCCATGCTAAGCTTCTCTTTTGCAAGCCTCTCACAGTCACTCCTCTGTTTATACTGATGGCTTTATCATTAGCTTATAAAAAAACAAGACACTCACTCCTGCCTCTGACTCATCACTTATTCATCTCTGCTGGAAAAGACCTTTAACTCATGTTGATTTAACTGTGAACACTTAAAGTAGAACTGTAAAAGTCCCACATTCCCAGTCAAATTGGTAAAGTTTTCAGTTTAAAAAAATAAGTTGAGTAGAGGAAATGCTGAAGTGTGTTCCAGCAACCCAGAATCAACACTCACCAACTCCTTGAATCCACAGTCTAAACCCAACAAGACATAAAGCAAGATCCTGGTTATTCTCTGTTCTCTGCAACAGTATTAGCTAACAGCAAACTAGCTGCCAACAATGAGCTAATATTATGGAAGCTACCAACCCATCAAGGAACAGCCAAATATTAATCCTGAGCTACCTCACCCAAGCAAGCAACAAAGTGTAGCACTCATCTATCATGTATCCACATGCCATGAACCAAGCTCACTTGCTAAAGGCATGTTAGCATAATACAAAATTTTACTTATATACTTATAACATTCAGCGGTAATGAAAATAATGCTAATAAAGTTAACACAATATTTAGCTAATCAGTTTTGACTCTAGGATTTCTGCTTTATTTTCAAGTACAGACAGAAAGAAACATAACTAAGTAGTCTAATTGTTTGGGTCTATTTGAATGACTCAGTCCATTACGCCGGCGGTGTCCAAAGCCCCCAAGGCTTGTGTGGATGATTTGAAGGAGAGATAATTACCTGAGAAAAGAATGATGTGACACTCTGAAAACGTATTATTCCCTCTTGACATTTTTGTTGCAATAAAACATTATTCTATGAGTTTTGCACATGGGTTCAATTCATTTTTATTGTAACCTCTTGACAGAATGAACTGACACAGAAGGGAAGAAACACAGAGACTAAATAGACACTTGGGTAATCAGACACAGGTGAGACTAAAGACACAGGTGAAGACAATCAGGGCAATCAAAAAGGGGGGAAACTGGACAAAGGGAGGAAGTAAGAGAAGACAAGAACTACAAAATAAAACAGGAAACTTTACAGACTGGTGTCAGACATAAAACAGTACATGGGTATAATTACTAAATGAGAAAAAGGAAACACTAAAGACAAGACTAGGGGTACACACACACACACACACACACAGAGAAAACAGAAACACAATGTTACAAATGGCAAATTAAAAATACATAGAGGCCATCATGAAACATACGAATAGGAAATGACAAAATAAAACAGGAATTGACGACAAAACAAGCAATAAACAAATTAAACACGAGTAAATCATGCCACTAAATATATATAAGATATACATATAATATATTTGTATATATTTATATTATATATAACAAATATAAAAAAAATGAGTTCTGTTTTGCAGTCTAGACAAATTAACTGAATTTTAGATTAAGATAAACTTTAATTTTCATTTGAATTGTATGTTCTCAAATACTCAGAGGTTATTCTTTTCTATTGCAAGACTACGCTAAATATCAGGCTGGACAATAAATGACAGTGAAGTGTTTGGTGTTTTAATTGTTAAAAGAAAAGTGAGACATTCCTTAATAACAATTTCCTTATGTTTCATAGTTTTTTCTCACTGTTGGACGTGTTGATCTAGAGTTGTCTTACATGGTTCAACTTGACCTTGACTTACTGAGCTGTCCTGCACTGAGCAGCTTTACAAATAAATTGGCTTAGCTACTATTCAGGCCCTGATTTGATGACTCCCTGGCATGCAAATGTACAAAACTGGCAAATACACACACACACGCACATTCACTCAGACTTACACTGGCAAGCTTGAACTCACTCACACCCTGTTTTCACTCGCACAAACTGTGCCAGTCCCTCATTCTGATTCTCTCTATCTGTCTTTCTGTTCATTTGACCTTTGATTCTCCCTAAGGGAGAACATGGGGGCTGATGAGAGTGATAAACAGATGGTTAAAAGATAGAATAACAAGTGTGTGTTTGTCACATGAACATTTGGGGACAAAAGTACTCCTTATGTAGCCTACATCACATGCTCAATTGTTTTAGTTAAAGATATATTGTGCTTGTGTGTTTGTGTGCGTGCGTGTGTACGTGTGTCAGTGTGTGTGTGTTTGTGTGTTTGTGTGTTACAACTAGCATGTGACTCTGCAAGTGTGTGTGTGTGTGTGTGTGTGTGTGTGTGTGTGTGTGTGTGTGTGTGTGTGTGGGGTTTCAAATAGTCCTAATGCTGTCAGAATCTCCATGAGAATATCTGACATCATTTCCTGTCCTACTCACACACTGCTCTCATTCCCACAGGCTGTATACATCTGGACAGACACACACACACACACACACACACACACACACACACACACACTCAAACACAGGAAATAGTTGTTTAGATTCCCATGCTGTCAACACAGCAGTTATACTTTTGTAACGAAGGGTCGACTATTGACTAGCCAACAATGCTAATCTTACTAGCAAAAATACTATGTGAAAAAATATATCTGCAAAGGATTTGTCTGATAAGATCTTTTATGGAAAATAATCACTTCTTTATCCGTGTAACTTTAGGACTAAGAGTGATCCAGGATGTGTTTGGCTTATCACAGAGACTGGTAGCAGTGTGAAACTTGAAGTCTCCTTTCTGGTCACTTAAAGTCCAAATAAGGAGAGGACTTGAGAACACTACACTGATAACCATGACTGCTTTATGTTATACGTTATACTGCAGTACATGGCAACGAAGACAAGCTTGTACTATTGGTAATGTAAATATTGCATGTACAGTAAATCTAGTTATTTGACATAGTTCACTGTTTGTTAGACCAGAGTCATCAATTTTTTCTTTACTGTCCTTTCAGCAGTTATTAGTTTTTCTTACTCACCCATATTATTTATATAAATCATAGACTATATATTAAGATGGACTGAGCAACAGCTGCTTGGGAGTGAAGCCAAAATATTTAGAGCTCGCTCTTCTGATTGGCTGAAAGTATAGATCATAAACCTGCCTCAAACTTCATGTTAAACCCCAAGTATTACATTCAGATGGCAGTGTGGGGACAAAAAATGTCTTCACGTTCAAGGTCTTGAACTCAAACCCTGGTCCCCACAAAGATAGAAGCACAAGAGTACACACACTAACACACACAAACATAATTATTTGATTAGAGCTGGGAAGCAGCAATTTCTGGTACATTTATCTGAGCGAGGCCAGCTCCCATCTTCCTCACCATATCTTATGTTATGTGGTGT